TACAAACACTTCAACAGTGAAGATGTATTTGTTAGGTAGCAAGCATTCGCACTGGCCTTGCTAGTATGAAAACTTTTCTCCCCAAGTCTCAATACAACAGCAAATTGTGTCATATAATGCTGACAAATGCCTTTTCTCCACTTTACCCTCTGTGCCATCCAAGATACCTTGTTTCTATTGGCCACGCAATCATATGTCATAACGCGCAGGAGTCACAGTTTAACAAATCTGAACTTTGACTGCAGCAAATGTGTGGTCTCTCTGACCTGCACGCTGTGCTGTGCTGTGCTGCGCTAGCACTTTGCTTGGTGCAGCGGCATGTCATTGTTGTGCAGCGCAAGTAATTGAAATGAATGCGTTTCAGAGCGCAGTGGCACCAGTGCCAAATCCTGTGTGAAAGCTACGTTAGCAATCATTTGGTTACCTTTCATTTCCAAGCGAACTTGTAGCATCTACAACATCAATATAAAAATGCAAAAATCCCCCTCTAGAGTTCATCTGTCATGGGCTACAGCAGAAACATGGCAGCACATGGCTCCATGCAGGAGGACCCACGGTCAATGTCGATATAAAGGACTAACTTTAAGCAAATCAAAAAACATTAATTCACAGTTACAGATGATTGTACATAAATGAAAACATAATTATGAATGCTATATTCTATTTCTGCAAATAGATCCCAATATTTCCTGCACACTGGACCTTTAAATTTGCATCTCTCTCTTCCCCAACTCGTCACTGGCACTATCAAATAAATCTAATAAAGGCAGAAAATATCTAATACAATAATCCAAAAACTATATACTTTTGATGTAGGTCCAGCTAAAAGAGCGGAGAATAAAAATATTACTGACACAAAGAAAGAGGTTTAGCTTCAGTTAACTTAGAACCATATATTTCAGGACATGATTCATAAAGGAGGACTTTATTTTAGGCGTCAAGTCTGGGAAACTGTTCACTGGGTGGTCACTGGCTAAAATGCACCCAACAACTTAGGCTAAAATATAATTTAATGTGAAAATGCACATTAAATTATATTATCTTAAGATATGCAGACTTTTCAGCTGCTCACAACAGGCTGCAAGAACAAACAATCACATGATATACTGAACTACCACACTGACAACCACTGCATGCACTCAAATTTAATACACCATTTATTAACATTTAAAGAGCAACAAACAAACATATAAAACAACAAAATTTAGTTGTCAATCTACTGTCCCTGCAATGACACCAGAGCTGGGAATGTGACTCTGACCCAGTGATAGGATTTGATGGGAGGAAGAGAAATAAACAAAAGGCGATGAACAGAGGAGACGACACTGATGGAAGGCAAAATCAAAATGTTGAGGGATTGAAGGTTTAGTTTCCTGAGACCAGTTCTTCAGTGTTGCTGCCAATATGATAAATTGTTCAACTACTTTATCCATTACACACAAAAAGAGATTATCTTTAAACAAAGGCTTAAAGCTTTTGAGGTTAAAGATTATTTTAACTGTTAATGCTTAATGAAATAGTTTTTTACTCTAACTGAATTCTCATTGCGTTGTTAGCTTTGATTTGAAGACACTAATGATAGTAAGAGTAGCATTTGTGTAAAATTATGTAAAATGAAGTTTGTGTGTGCATAGTCACACAAACAAATAAAAGCTATATTCCCCTGTCAAAACTTGAGTCTGATAATCCACTGAGAAAATACTTTAATGTGTAATCTTGTATTCTAAACAATCTAGATTATAAAATGTCTGCCAATATTATTTGTTATTCTGCAAATATGCAAGCTAACAGATCCTGATCCCTGTCTTTAAAAATGTATCTAAATATGTCAGTGTGTATAGTCAAAGCTTCAGAGACTGATGTATGGATCCTTCAGTCTACTGGATGGTGATGACGCCCTCTTCCCAGCTGAACTGGTTCACCAGCACGTCGTCCTCCTCCTCCTTCATGGAGTTGAGCAGGTATCTGACCCCAGCTTTCACGCCAGTCTTCACCCCTGCACCCAGAGCGTAGCCTGCCACCCCAGCAGTCCCACCTGTAGCCACCATGAGGGCATCTGTTCCCAGATCGACAGCACTAAGGATGGCCCTCTCCTTGGCTGTTTCGGAGCAGTTGACTGAAGCATAATAGACAGCTGTTCCGAGGTTGTAGAGGGTGCTGACTGCAGGGATCCACTCCACGACATTGTAAACGCGCTCCTCGCTCTTGTTGATACAGCTCCTCTGGGGGCTGCGCTTCATCCGCTGGCCCGAGCCTGCAGTGAACAAAGCATTTTCTTTGGCGCTGCACTGACGGATCCAGCACTTGGACTCGGCGGATTCGGATGGCAGGATGCGACTGCCTTGTTTTAACACTGCATGGTACATCCCAGGTGTGAGAGCTCCGTCGCTGGTCACACCAGCACACAGGGCTCCCAGTTTTTCACAGCTGCTCACAGCATCCTCCAGTACACCTGTGGATCCTTCCACAGCCGCTCCCACCAGCATGGTTCCATTCAGCCTGGTCCAACCCTTACAGTGTCCTTCCTGCTTAGAGGTGCCTTCTCTCACCAAGGCCAGCTGCTGAATGTTGAACATCACAGCTTCGATGTGGCACCCAGCTTGATCTCTCTCTGACGGCAATGCTGCTGATGCAGGTGTTGGTGTCGATGCTGACTTCCTCATCTTCCGCTCTATCAGACCCTCCACCTCCATCAGGAGATCCTCTGTATCATCCACACCCAGCAGGTCATACAGCTTCAGCACCAGGGTTTGTGCCTCCTTTGGGCAGCCAGCCATCACCAACACAGGCACTAAAGAGAGACCCAGCAGCTCCTGGGGTAACATGGAGGATAATGGGTCATCCACACCGCTGGCAGACAGCAGCTCCTCACAGCTGACGTTCCCTTGAATGTTGAGATGATCTTGAATCTGGCCCTGAAGCTTCGCCCTGAGGACAGATGTCATGTGTCGGGCAGATTGGACTCTCTCCTCATGTTGTGCGAGCACTGATACAGGAACAGCAGTTGAGAGATGAGGCTGTGGTTGGGTTCCCAGGACAGAGTGATGATCCTGTTTGGCCGGCTCCTCTACCACTTCATGGGTATCAATTCCTGGAGGCAGAGTGTCCCTCAGTGCCAGAGGAGGTGGAACCCTGCACAGGGCCTGTTCATTGAGCAGGAGCTGGATCACAATCAGCCACTTCAACTTGGAGGACATCATCCTGCTCTTGATTGAGTTATTTTCCAAAGCCACTAAAAACAAGAATGTAAAAAACAAGCCAACAACGTATGAAACCATTGACTCGGTGAACAATGCCTCAGAGGGAGTTGAGTTATTTCATTCATGTACCAACATTCTAAACTGAGTTCATCATTTATTCTCACACATAGATTATTACACTGTCCAGTCTTTGTGATAGTTTCGTGGCTGCACCTGCTTTTCTGCAGACACTAAAAATGTTGCCTCATAGGCATCCTTATGTATGAGCGTATTACAAAAATCTTGAGCAAGAACATTGATGAATCATGACTTTCTCCCCCTGCAACTTTACTGAAGAATATTTTCACATTAGATGAAAGCAACTGTGAGTAATATACAGGAAAGACGAATAAAAATATCTATAGATTAAAAGTTTTTAGCAATGCAAGACAGAGCAAAATATTCCAATATGCAGCACTGACACTGAGCTGAAAAGCATTCCTGCATGGCCTGGTTTTTGTGCTAACTACAACTGAAAATAGCTTTTTTTGTCAACCCACAACTTTGTAGTTTAAATTCCTTACAGCTACTTGTCCTACACCTACCTTAATAATCAGGTCTGGAGTCCTGAAGTCCAGAGTGTGTAAATGCGACCAAGATGGCTCCAGCATGTAGGATGCTTTTTGTTTTTCCTTTTTTTTTCTCCCTTTCCCCAAAACGTGCATAGCGATGTTCTCTCTCTCTTTGCCTCCAATGAGAATCTCCTTCTTTACATATGACATCCCACAGCCCTCCCTCTGTATCATCTGTCTTTCAGCTCCCTCTTCTCTTTGGCCTCATTGCTCAACGGGGAGATCAGGGCTTGAATATTGATTCACGTGGGGGAAAGTCCATGTGTTCTAAAGCCGTTTTGTTTGTCTGCCCCTGCTATCCTCTTATCCCCCCCGGTCCCTCTGCTGCCTCTCACACAGTCGGTAGGTTTTGTTTTTGACCCAAATACTTGAAAGAAATCTCCCCTCATGCCGTGAGCAAATTTATCTCTTACACAGCCAAGAAGTGAAGTGAGGGAAAACAGGGCTATTTAAGGTAAAGACTTCACTCATTCACAAATTTAAATTTAAAAAAAAACCTTGAAATGGTGAATTTTTGTTTCTTAGAAACTGTTCCCTTTCCCTGTCCCATTAATTTTAGATTCTCAGACATCACTTGCTGTGTCCTATTTAGGAACAGATTTCTTCTATCCTCTGAGGCCCTATTTCTGCACAATACAGAAATGCCGGTAAAAGTCCATTTCATCCGCCTCTTTGACAATCAAAGCACCAAAAATAGTCCAACTTTGCCTTAGAGCAAAGTGGCAGTTTCATTTAGAAAATGTGACTTCATCGGACTCAGTCACGATTGAGTCTTTGAAAAGAATTACATTTTAAATGTAGACTTTCAAATGTGAATTAATTTTAAGGAGAAACAGTATACAAAAAAGAAGCAATTATGTCACAAAAAGATTTCTTTTCTCAAGCTGTATGTTCTGTTTGTATTTGCACTCTGACCAACATTTAGTACAAAAGGTCACTCTCACTTTATTCAGATTCAATGAGTTAAGCCTTGTTCCCCTCCCACTTCTACTATACCTCTTTCTCCTTTGTGTCTTTTCACTCTCTCTTTTTCTTTTGGCAGGTCTCTGTGTGAGTACTCCACAGTTTTTTTTTTTTGTTTCTTCCCTCCTTTCCAAACAGCAAGGATGGGATCATTTAAGAACAAACTGCCCAAACACACACACCTAAAAAAACGTAACATTTTGTGTTGATTCACTGATTTAAAAAAAAAAAAGTTGATTTAATCAAAGCCTTGTGGCAACTTTGAAATTAGATTTTCTTCACAGTCATGATGCTTTGCAAATTGCTCCTTCTACAAGCATTGTAAGAACAAATATTGAAATGCAAAGTTTACAAGAGCAGTGTCATCCTGCTGGGTTTTTTTAGGCCCCTCTAAGTATTAACATTTAATTCTCTCAAACACAGACTATGGATTTAAGTAGATATATAAATAATTAACTGTACAGTGCATGTGTTTATCGACAAAGAAATATTTAATCACCTCATGGTTTTTCCCGCATGTCGTTGTGTGCGCTTTCATCAAGAGTTTAGCTGCATTATGACTTTCAATAATAAATACTTAACACAGTGCTTTAGAAATAAGATGCATTATGTGAAACTGAAAGCTGCTTCTCAGGGCTTAGTGTTGACTCTGGATGACAGACTACTATGTATGGCTTAATCTAGCAGCAGATACTTGAGCTGAAAACAACAGCAGTATTTTAAAGTCTATATTTGATTAACTGATATGTTACTTTCACAGCACTAGGGGGTGATGTGTTACCACAGAGGACACCGACCGAGTTCATCCCCACAATAAAATCCTGCAGAGGCTTTCCAGTTTGGCCTAAAACTCCGACACATAACGCCAGTACAGTCATCTGTTTTTTATTATGAAAATGCTGGACTGGGTGCAGTTCTTTCCAGAAGAAGTGGAGAACAGCTGGATGAAATGCATCTTTGACCTCATGAGAGAGGATGTGATACGATACTGAACTCTGTCATATGCAGCAAGCAAGGCCTAAATGAACTGTTTGTTTTCTGTATTTGCCCATCCAATCACAAAAATTATTGCAGTTTTTTGTTTTTAAATGAAACCAGAAGAAGCCAAATGTGGCCTTCTGAAAGATAAAAATGTGTACTTCTCAAAAAAAAAAAAAAAAAAAAAAATCGACTGAACTGTCAGGTAATTAATAAACATGTTTTTAATGCAGGACAGACACAAGCAGAAAGAGAAAATAGACGCTGAAAAGAAAATTATGACACAAAGCGTAAAACAACATGCTTGTTTAAATATTTAGAAAAGGAAAAAAAAGAATATACTTATTGCATATAATGATGGTCCTCTATCTTTCTCTTAACTCATTACTATAAATGGCATTTTTATGAAACGCAATCAAATCAAATGACTCTGATTACTTTGATATGAACAAAGATGCTCATAGTGATGAACCTTGAAGTTGACTTTAGCTCAGCATCACAATTCAAGTCTTTTCAGCTTATTGCTCAGGTTTTCTGGCCAAAGCAGGTTTCTGACTGAAAACTCAATGATGTTGTTTTCGGCAGGCACAATTAATGTCAAGTGTTGCATTGAGCAGCTAGAGAGTCAGACATTTTACACAATAATCACTACGGACCAAATAAACTGTGAATATAAGACTTCAGATGACCACGCACATGACTTCTAATAATTCTTGTGCTGTAACTGCTGGATATACAGTCATGAACAATACTTTCCTT